GGGCACACCGACCCCCGGGCACACCAACCTGCGGGCATCTCGATCCCCGGCAGACCGACACCGGGGCATCCCGATCCCCGGCACACCAACCCTAGGCACACCGACCCCCAAAACACCAGTCCCGGGCACTCCGACCCGTGGGGAAGCCTCGTGCTGTGCCAAGCAGCAGCTCCGTGGTGGCTCCTGCGCAGGGTCCTGCTGGCAAGGGGCAGGTTTGGAGGCTGGAGCAGGTTTTGCAGAAGATAATAGAGCTGCCTGTAAAGGTTGAAGTGTTTTAAGCGTGTATATGTATGATCTTGTTGAAGCACAAGCAGATAATAGAGGACGTAATTTTCCGAGGTGTTAATGCTCATTAGGAGCCACTCCAGAGGTGAAGGTGACTGAGCTTCTTGTTTGTAGCTGCTTTAGAGGAGAAGAGAGTGAAACGACACTGAATGACTGGTGTTTATGTATATGTGTATGGCAGGTTTATCTTGGAACAACTTGGTGGCAATGGGAAGGAGGTATGTAACTGTTTTGGTTATTATCTACAATATAAACAATATAAACAATATAAAAGTATGAAAATAAAACTTAAGAAATGCCTAAAGGAAAGGAAGAGAGAAAGGATAAATGACATAATTTAAAAGAGTATCAGGGATGCTCATATGTGGTGAGACCCACATGGCTTTGTTTCCTAAATAATTCATGTAATGCTTGGTGGGTTGTGTGTGCTCTGAGCTTGTCATCTCAGCTTTTAAAGACACAAATGTCCATTTCAGGTCTAAGGTTCATCAGTGTTTCACATTCTTTTCACAAAATGTCAGGTTTTGTAGAGCACAGGGAAATCAATATCATCTTTATTTTTCTGTTCATAAGAGGTAATTCATTTGTTCATGACTAAGGACAGAAGGACAACTCAGCCTTGGACATTAGGTGATGAGAATGGTTTCAGGTTTTGGGTTTTTTGTGGGGAAGAATAAAGACTGCCAAAGGCATTAGCTGCCCAGTTAGTGGGGGCATATAAAAGGAACTGAATTTTCTCCAGGAAAGGCACATATTCCTTTTGCAAAGTGTGGGGGACTAAACTATGATGATGCATTCAGTAATTATGCCTGTTTCTGAGAAAATTCAGAGATTTCTATGTACAGCAAGGCCCCTTAAAACACTGAAGTTGTGCACATAAGGCCTTCTCTCCTTTGAAGACCTTGACTTAGCATTGTAAGTTTGTATATCTGTTTTTTTCAGGGGAGGTTATTTTTAACACAAGCAAATTAGTAGCTCTTCCTAAATTACACAATGTCTGCCCCTGAATTACTAGAAGTTATGTATTGGATGATTTTTTTGGAGCACTCTAAAAGAGATCATGGCAGCATTGCCACTTTATTGGACAATGTAATCTGATCTTTATCTTCTGAAATATTGATACCACTAAAAGCTGCCTGTGTTTGGTTTTAGGTTGGATATGCTGATGAGCAACCTGCTGTCTTGTTGGAGCATGGTAGAGTTTGCATGATCACATCTTGCCTGAGGTCTTCTCAGACATGATGCCATGAGGTTATCTCGCTGGAGCATCCCGTCACTTTGTGACAGCACTTCATCAGGGACTCTGTGAGCACTGCAGATGTTCCTCTGAGCAGCACATCATGGTGGATGTAGCAGAGAAGGAGATGGATAACCCCACGTTCAGGAGTGACACTGTCCTGTCTGATGTTCACTTGCACTGCCCAAACAAAAGGCATCTCATGGTGCGACTGAATGCAGTTGGACAGCCAGGTAATGTATGCTGAGACTGATAGAGCTGTGCTTAAACTCTGTTTATGTCCTTGTAATGGCTGAATCCTCCTTTGGATGGTTGATATTAATAATGGCATATTTTATTCCAGTTAGAAGCAGAATCACCTCCCACTCAGTCTGTAGGGAGAGGGGTAGCTGCATTCTCCTCGTGACATTAACTGCAGAAATGAAAACTATTCATGTAGAATTTGTGGACAGCCTATCTTAAAAATTGAATTTTAAATTACTTTCTGAGAAGAAGTAACCAAATTAACTTGCTTGCGGGTTTAATTTTATTTATTTGCTCATTGAGCTATGATGTAAACATAGCACTTTGGGAATCGTGATAGAAGTTGGGATGTCTCTTGTATGCAAACAAAAAGTGAGAATCTAGGGGGTTTAAAGAGTGTAATTGAAGTTTAAAATAAGTAATTAAGTTAGGAATTTTAATAAAATCTTTATGTGATGGTTTACCATCTATTCCAGAGGAGCCTAATAGCTTTCTTTGGGGGTTTGTAGGGGGTTTTTTTGTTTTACAACAATTGTCAGCAAGAAAACTCAGAATAACAATGGCTTCAACTGGCATAGAATCTGAAGAATCAAGGCTGTAGTGGAAATGAGTTGGCAAAGGCCTCTGGCTGATCTCCAGCTTGTAGGTTGCTATAAAGTTGTCAAGGAAACTGACCTTGAAGCCGCTGGTAAAAATGTTCTGTAGAAAAGTCCTGCTGTGACACAAGTGTTAATTGTCCTTTCAAACTCAGTTGTGACATAAAAAGAATAACTTTTGCAGCTGTTCTGGCATGTGACAATGTGAACAATGACAAAAGTAGGCCTGCCAAAGAAATGAATAATAATTTTCACCCTGATCAGGTCAAAACCAGGTAATTAATGCCGTGGTGTGTCTTCATGCTGCTTGACATTTGTTCAGTGTGATTTAGCTTGATGCAAAGGACCTTTCAGCAGAATGAAATGACAACAGTGCTGCCTACTCTGGGTGAGCCTGGTCTGGGAAATTCCTCTGGTTATTGAGACATCAGTTGGATTGCAGTATGACAGCTGTCACTCTGACAATCTACCACTGCCATTTTACTGGATTTTAGGAAAGTTTGTAGGGATTTAGTCTTTAGTTTTACCTTCTGAAATGCCATAGAGCACACAGAGCATGTTTTTACTAGAACATGTTTGTTTCTTACAGGATAGGAATCTTAACCAAAAGAAATAAATTCTAGCTTCTATTAATTCTTCTTTCAATTTGGTTTGAACCTGTCTGAAGAGAAGTACTTCTAGAGGGTGTAGGAAACCATCCCTCCTGCCATTTGTTAGGATAAGTGTTCCTAAATCAGATGAAAGTGTCCACTGTGCCTGCAAAGGTGCTGAGCCAGCCAGGAGACTGTGGGACTGCTTCATTTATTTCTACTGACAGAACTTAATGACAGAAATATTTCTTCATAGCAAATGGAACTATATTTCAAGTTAGCTGTATAATTATTTTATCCTTTAGAATGTTAATATGTGAAACACATACCAATATTTCATACATGTGGAAGCTGTGCATAGATTCTGTCTTATCTGGTGTTTAACTTTCCTCCTTCCCCACTGTGTTCTTACAGTATTCCTGTCATATTTCAAATTCCTTTGGAACACAGAAGATTTGGCATCTGAGAAATGTGTGAGAGAAGTTGCAAGAGAAAGAGAACACCAGCACAGAAGTGGAGCTGAACTGTGTGACAAGGACAAGAGTAATCTAAAACAAGCAAGAGAATTAAACAGTGAAGGAGTAGAAGCTCTGCTAGATGATGATGGAGACATGGAAGTGGTCAGAAGGCCTCAAAGTGCCTCTGATTTAGAAGCAGAGGATCTTCTGAGGGATATAGTGTGTCCTGTAATTCTGATGAAAGGGACAGAAGATACTTTTGAGGATGAAGGACAAGAATGCACTTGCAGTGATGTTGTTAAAATAGGTAAATAACAGCTTGCAGTCAAGGAGAAATAGGATAAATATCTTTATGTAAAGCAGAAGAAAAATAGGTTTTCTTTAGAAATGGAAGAGCAGTTGTTAAGTGAGATAACATAATAAACGTAATACTGTGAGACTGTAAATATTGTTAAAATTTACCTTTTTTCTACAGAAGTGATTTGGGCAATTGTGTACCGAGGGAAACTCAGTGCTCAGTTGGAGTGGGACTGTGGCATTATCTAGCATTATTATATAGAATGAAGAGTGTTTAGTTCTGTGTTTGAAAGGGAAACATGAGTTTCAAACTTTGCACTATGGAACTTGGTTGGAACAACATTTTGAGATGATTATTTCTACTCTACTTTTATTTTCACAGAACATACTATGGCAACCCCCTTAGAAGATGTTGGTAAACAAGTATGTGTCCTGCCTTGTACTATCTTGCTGTCCATGGATTGTGCTTCAAAGGTTACTCAGTTTTAATTGCTTCTGTTGCCCCCAGGTGTGGCGTGCAGCCTTCCTTCTTGCTGATTACATTCTGTTTAAACGAGACCTGTTCAGGGGTTGCTCAGTGCTGGAGCTTGGAGGTGGCACTGGAATTACAAGCATTATCATGGGAACAGTTGCCAAAAGAGTTTATTGCACAGGTAAGGCAGTTATTTTCAATTCAATACTTTTCATGAAACTTCCCAAAGCACTGCTTGCATCCTGGTATTTTCATTCTCATCTCTTCAGTTTCAGTTAATAGTTTTTTATTAATGTGTATCGAGTTGTGTTATTTACTGCAGAATAACAGGAACTTTCTCAAGGGATTGAGAAAGCAGTACTACTAGATGTTAGGAGAAAGCAGTACTATTACATGTTAGGAAAAATTTCTTCACCATTAGGGTGTTCAGGCACTGGAATATTGCCCAGGGAGGTGGCGGAGTCACCATCCCTGGAAGTGTTTAAGAGGCATCTGGATCTGGTGCTGGAGGGTATGGTTTAGGGTTTAGGGGTTAAAGCAGTGACAGGTTAATGGTTGGGCTTGATGATCTTAGAGGTCTCCTGCAACCTTGATGGTTCTATGACTACTTCTAAGCACAAGAGTTTAAAAGCAAGAGATGTTGCTGTGAACTTGAGATCATGTGTCCAAATTAAAACAGGTAGTAAAGAGATCTAACTTCTTTTTTCAAGGGTAGCTCAGAGCTTAGTCCTGAAAGACAGAAGGAAGAAGGCTACTAGGGAAGCAATCATCAGTGGATGGAGTTGCTCTGAACTTTCCTTAACCTCATCAGTTTGATAGAAACTTGGAGCATTAGTCTGAGAGGCCAAGAACGCATGCCCACACAAAATATTCCTGTCTTGTATATCACTTTTTTTTCCAGATGTTGGTGAAGATCTTCTGGCCATGTGTGAGCAAAATGTTGCATTAAACAAACACCTGATGGAACCAGGAGGTAAGTGCTATATAGTTTGTGTGATTGCCTGTTTATGAACTCCTTTGGCATTACCCACAGAGGCAGTGGCTACCAGCAGCTCCACAGATACAACTACATTTCTGTCTGGGTTGAAAGTGAGTCATTTCGTAAGAAGAATGCAAGACATCTAGATGTTGTCCATAATGCCACAGATTCTTTTTGAGAAGAGCAAAATACTTAGTTTTTCTCTGGTCATCATTTCAGACCAGGTTCCTACACAGTCCTTGTGTGAGTTTCACTGAGGTCTCTGGGAGGATCACAGCTGTGCAGGTGCCAGGGGTCACATAAACAGGGTGTAAGTGGCAGAGGTTGAACTCTGGAAAGGAGAAGTGTTTCGTGGGTGAGACATGTCCAAGAGAACAGAGGTTGTCTTCCTAACCTGTCATTCTGTTCTCTCATGAGTGGGTGACTGGTTTTGGACAGCAAATGGTTTGATGTTCAACTTCATTCGTTTCATATTCCTCATAATAGATCTTCATCACTTGTTTCAGTACAGATTCTGATGTTTTCCTTTTGCTCAGGTACTGCCTGAAAGATCCTTTGTGACTGATGTGATCTTTCTTCACCCACAGGAGGGGAAGTTAAAGTGAAAGAACTGGACTGGCTGAAAGAGGAATTTTGCACTGGTAGGTGGTTATAATGGGTCCTTTCAGAGAGGGCTTGGTGTTTTGTTCTGTTTGGTTTTTCCCTTCAGAGCCATCCAGAAACGTTTGTTCCACTGTTTATGAAGTGAGTCCTGTGGCACACAGGCCTCTGGAAGCATAGGTGAAAAGTACAAGACTCTCTCTGGGTCCATCCTTGCCATGTGAATGAGTAAAGAAGGCTTTACTGGTAAATTGAGAATAGACAAGTGGTGACTCTCTTTTACTGTAGTCAAAATCCAGAGGTGCAAACAAGATGTGTCAGTTATGTAGAATTCAGGCATAATGATGTGGGTTTGAGTTACTGTGATCCAGGCTGGGATTGATGGGATTGTGTGTTTTATGACTGTGTGAAGACCAAACAGTAAGGCAGGTGAGGATTTGAAGACATGTTCCAAATGTAGTGGTGAGTTTGTAAATATTTGCCAAGGAAATGTGTTCTGCTGGTTTTAGCAAAATAAAAGCAAATAACTTGAGTAACATTTAAAGTGCAATTAGTGATAGTAAAGCAGATCACTTAAGCTTTCTTTTTATTGATTACCAAGTCAACACAAAATTGTAGCACTAGGTTCCATGAAGCCTTATAGATTTGTGTGTTATCAGTTGAACTGGATGTAATGCTTATGAAAAACAGAGCAATTCTTTAAGCAAATGGGAATATCCTTTGCACATTCAAAAGCCTCTCTTGGGCCTCAAAAAAATTCTGGTTAATGAAAGTATTTGATACTGTCAGCTGGAAAGGCTTTGTGTTTTTAGACTTTCAAATAAAGTTTCTCTTTGACAAAGTCTAAATTTTAACAAGCAGCATGAAGCAGGAAGCTTAATCAAAACTTTGCAAAGATGCAGTTGGTGTTTTGTTTAAAGGTGAACTTCCTTTAATGGAGTTAAATCTGTGATCTTGCTATAGGGTAATAATTGGTTGTAGATTCTTAAATGAAAGACAAAATTTGCTTGCCAGTCAGGCTTGGGAGGTTTGGACAGAACACAGAGAAAGCAGAGGACTGCAGGGAACTTCAGAGCCTGAACAGAGGGAGGTTTTGATGTCCCTTCAGTGCAGTGCTCCATTGATGGAGTAGCAGATGCCCACAGGAGTTAAGAACTTTCTTTTCTCCAGCTGTCAACCATTTGAGACATCTAATCATGTATACCAAAACCATATTCTTTCTTACAGATCCTGAAGCTCCTCACAGCTGGTCTGCAGAAGAGATTGCTGATTTGCATGATCACTGTTCTGTGATAATAGCAGCTGATGGTAGGAAAATATAAACAGTAAGCTTTAAATCAAACACCTGAGCATTATGAGTAATAATTTAAACATACATAGTTTGCTTTGAAAATCTAATAGGTCAGATCCTCACCTAATTTGTCAAAGCTTTGCCTTGAGTGTTTTTGTCTGTATTTTTCTTTTCTAAATGATTGTATTTACATTCTGAAGTAGCAATGGGAGAACAGGTGTTGAAAGCCACTAGCCTTTCCTTTGGTGTGGTAATTATTTGTGACTAAATAAATTACTCAACATGATCACAAGTAAGTGATGAATTTGTCTTCCAGAAGAGTTGAGTTGTCCTATCATTGACTTGGGTCAGATGAATTCTGTGCAATTCATGAGAAATAGATGGTTAGACTAAGATTTTTCTAGAATGTGAAAAGCAGTTTCAAGTGCTTCACTTTCCCATAGAGTCTATGCCTTTGGATATCACTCTGGTTTTTCCTGCTCTTTTTTTTGCTTAAGTGAAGGACTGAAAAATAACAGGCAAACCCATGTATAGCAAACCCACTGTTGTTTGGATATATAGGTAGTAAGGGAGAATTGGGTTTAGTTTGATATTGAAAGGAACTGCAAGAGATTCCAAGGGGATATGGTTATAATGATAAATTAGTTATGGCCTGGGTTGGGTTTTTGTAAGAAACAAGGCCCTGTCTGTGATGTCCTGTTTTCCTTAGCTTTCCAGTAAGATTATTTCCAGTCTGAGAGAAATCTTGTCAAAGTTTATAAGTTATCTGACAAGTGATCCCCATTGCTACAAGAGAAGGCTTAAAGAAAACCTGACAGAAATAGCAACAGTGAGTACAGGGTCAGTTGTTGCCATTAAACACATGCTTTGGCACTTAGTTAAAATAGTGACTTGTTTGATTAGAGTAATCAAATTAAGAACTGCTGCTTCATGCCTGAGACTTCATTAAATAATACACTTAAATATGCATATTTTATGCACTTCATCTTTTTTTTTTAGTGTTCTACGATGATGATCTGACAGATGCATTGTTCAGAACATTGTACAGAATCACACACAACCTGAGAAATTCTTGCACAGTTTACTTGGCATTAGAAAAAAGGTAAGTGTTACCAAGAACTTGAAATAAAAAGCACTAAAAACTTTGCATGCTTTCTTTATCTAGAAGAAACATCTGTGTTAATTGGAGCTTGGCTTCTGATTGTCATTGTCACAGTTGATGACAGGCTGCAGTATATGCTCAGGACAAGCATTTGTTTTCATATATGCTTCATTTTTATCAGTTCAAAATTGGAATTCCACAAGAGTTTGGCTTTTGTTATCCTACCTTTGTGTCACAGGAGACAAATTCTGTGCAAAAAAGGATAAATAGCTGGCTAGATTGATGTATTCTATAATACCTGACAACATTGGCTATATATCTTTGAGGTCTCAGAGTAGAATGAAGTGGCTTAGAGTTAGGATATACATTTCCCAGCTTGAGTACCTCTAGAACAGTTTATCCTGTTTTCTTTCAAGGAATCATTGAATGTTTTTGAGTAGTCACATGTTGCAGTCCATTCCTAAACTAATATACAAATAGGCTGTGCTTAAATCCCTGGAGATACTGTAAGTAATAGCTATTCCTGTGATTTCTTGCCAAGTGTTTGTCCAGGAAGCTAAACCAATGATGTTGTTGTGGCAAAGTACCTTCAAATCAATGGAAAGATTCATCTGAGCATTATTGTGCGTTGGTGCTAACATAAGTGTTGTCTGCTGTTCAGGAATGGCAGGGTGTACATTTTTTTGGTTGTTGAATCATAGAATCATAGAATTTAGGGAATGAACCTTACAGATCATCTAGTCCCAACCCCTGCCCTGGGCAGGGACACCTCCTCACTAGATCAGGTTGCTCAAGGCAAGGCTCAACCTGGTCTTGAACCCCATCAGGCTTGGGGCAGCCACCATGTCCCTGGGCAACCTGTGCCAGTGTCTTATCACCCTTATAGTAAAAAACCTTTTTCTCAGGTCCAACCTAGACTTTCCCTCCTTCAGTTTGAACTCATTACCCCTGGTCTTATCATTGCAGTTCCTAACACAGAGTGCCTCTCCAGCTAATGGATTTAATTATGCTGAGAAGACACATTTTCACTAGCTGAGAAAAGTTACACACACGTTTAAGTTGTCAGTATGGGAGAGATGTTTTAACTTAAACTTTCTCTTGCCAGGCTGAACTTCACTTTAAGACATATGGATGTTACATGTGAAGCCTACAGTCACTTTAGAAATACTCTGAATGATCTGGAGACCCTCCAAGACAGACAAATGAAATACACTGCAGAGCCCATTAAACTTGATTTCTGCCAGTTTCTCCTTTACGAGCGAATTGAGCAGTTGGTAAGTGACATTCAGGAAAATAAGTGTAATGTCTCAGGTTAATCATCCCAAATTATCTTTTAGCTGTTTACTTAACATGAAGTATGAACAGGAGAATAAGCATTACTTTTTCCTTTATTTCCATTTAGCTTTTTGTTGATTTAAAATGATTCTTGTTTGTGCTTACATACTCTGTGCTAGATTGACATATGTCCTGGTTTCAGCTGGGACAGAGTTGATTTTCTATCACCAGCAGTAGAATGGCTGAGATTGCACTTAGTTCCTCAAAGGTTTTTTACTTTGTAAAATACAATTTTTGTGATTGAGTAGAAAATGGGACCAATAGCTCTTCTTATTTATTTGCTTGTACAAGAGCTTTCATTTCACAGTTTTAGTAATTCCTTTCCCACTTCAGGGCTAAGGAAATAATGCTCTAATACCTATGAAGAAGTCAATTAACTGTAAACTTCTGTTACTCAGAAACGTGTCAGATGTTATATTTCTGGTTATCTAATTACCTCCCAGGCACTTATGATTCTCTTTGTCCATTTTTTCCAAATGATCTGCTCTTAGGAATATCATGCAGGGCAGCTCACAGCTTGTTGGCTTCTAGAACAATCCAATCCAACAGATCTTTTTAAAGAACTTGCAAATCTTGTACTGGATTGCAAATCTGGTACCAAGATATGATGATCCTGTAGTCAACATACATTGCTGTGTGTATGCATAGTAAGATCACAGGGGCCACAGTTACCTCATGAGATTGATTTACTGTACTTAGTGTTTCTGGCATAAAACATGCATGCAAGGCTTGTTTAAAAGTTCTACAAGGATATAAAAATAATCTGGATTATACCTAAATGTGTGAGCTCATTCCCTGGCTGGTTTGAACAATGCTACTGATCCTCAAACAGATGCATTTTTAAAATGCCTATGTTTCTATTTCATAGAATCATAGAATCAGCTGGGTTGGAAAAGACCTCCAAGATCATCAAGTCCAACCCTACCATGGCACTAAGTGCCACATCCAGTCTCATCTCAAAAACCTCCAGGGATGGTGAATCCACCACCTCCCTGGGCAGCCCGTTCCAATGCCTGAGCACTCTCTCCATAAAAAAATCTCTTCATAATATCTAACCTAACCCTCCCCTGGCAGAGCCTGAGTCTATGCCCTCTTGTCCTCCTGCTGGTTGCCTGGGAGAAGAGACCAACCCCCACCTGACTCCAGCCTCCTTTCAGGGAGTTGCAGAGGGTGATAAGGTCTCCCCTGAGCCTCCTCTTCTCCAGGCTGAACAGCCCCAGCTCTGTCCCCAGCCTGGAGTGCTGCATGGGATTGTTATGGCCAAAGTGCAGGACCAGCACTTGGCCTTGTTAAACCTCATCCCATTGGAATCAGCCCATCTCTCCAGCCTGTCCAGGTCCCTCTGCAGAGCCCTCCTGCCTTCCTCATTAATGATATTTCCACAGTTCAAGATGTCATGGTGGAGAGTATGTGATAATCTGCTTAATAATCTTTTGTATAGCAAACAAATCATATCCTGATTTATTCTAAGGAAATGAAGTGATTCATCCTCGTTAGCCAACAGAGTGAGAAGGAGCTGTGTATGTGTCTAAGTTGTGCCTTTATGAGACCTTGATTCCTCAGCTAATTGAGTATTTGCTCAGTTCTATTTTTAGCAGCATTATTGAAAGCATTGTCAACACAGGCTAAGAACAAGAGTAAGATTATCAGTCAAAATACTGGAGAAGGTCATACAGACCGATGGGAATTGGTTTTCAACAAATTATTTTGTACTAAATACAAATTATTTTTGAAAATCCTGCTGCAAGAATGAAGAAATCAATACTGCTCTGTTTCAAAGGTAATTTGGTAGTTGTTCCAAGAGATTACATAGGTGGATTTAGTATCCATCCATAGATTGATACTCTCTGTAGATGGAAGTATAAGGTATGTCTTAAAACTTGTCCCACAGTCAACGTGTTGAGCTTTTTCATAATTGCAGCCTACTGATGTGAGAAAATACCTGTGTGTGTTTTTCCTGCACCTATACAGGAACTGTGGAAGATCATGGCTGAGCATCTAACGTGACAGGCACATGAGGACATAGAAGATCTTTATCTGAGCATAAAGGCTATTTTGATGTTGTATTTTAAAAAGGATTTTCATCCCAAGAAAAGCATCTTCCTGATGGAATTGTGTTCTCAGAAAGCATTGCTATGCAGATTTGCTTTACTTCAGTAAGTTTTGGGTTTGGCACTTGGTTTCATGGACTTGGGCACTTGGACATGATTTCTTTGCTGCTTGTTTTACAAAACTGTTTCCTGCTGTGGAGATTAAGTTGGAAAATTTTCATTTGGAAAACTGACTTTCTCTTTTGTTAAATAAAGTCATCCTGCACTTGGGAGCACTCCTGGATCTGGTTGGCATTGCCCACTTGGTCAGCCAGATGGATCAGTTTGTGGAGAGAGGAACACAGCGGAGGTGCAGGGGAACCTGTGGAACCCTTGCAGTGCACTTATTTCTGATCAAAGAGGGGAGTGTCCAGATTTTCTTGGGAAGTTTGGAAAGGGCTGGACACATGATCTTCCAGGAGGAATCTTGTTTGAAACAAACTGATTTTTACTTTTTAGCACTGGTGTATGGTGAAACAACACACGCCCTTTGTCAGTCCCCATCCCTGCCCTGCTTTTACCTCCTCTTAAGTGGAGCAAAGATGACATAATTATAGACGTTAGTCAAGAGAAGAACTTGAATTTGATGTAACGTTTGAATGAGCATTACAAACTAATGACATTTATTTCTTTTCAGTCTTTGTTGATGTGAAACTTTGAGAGTTGCTTTGTTACGAATGTCTGTGTGTCATTTTGCAGTAGGAAGAAAAGTTGTTGCAGATCCTCACTAGATGGGATACATTCTGTGTGTTTATCATCTCTCTGTGTTCTCAAGTGTAGGTGGCTACTCGTAGGCCATACTTGTAGCTCCATCTGCTGTACAACACTTTGAGTCAAAACATTTTGCAGTTTGCTAAACACCCTGTTCTTGTCTGGTTCAACAGTATTGTATTTTGGAGTAACAGTTTAGGTTGAATGTGTCATTCTGCATTTCTCACCTAGACTTGCAGATGTGTGTATTGGAGATGAAGTTATGGTGGAAATAATCCTGAATAAAAAGTGGTGTTTAATTACCTACTTGTTAACAGCAGCTTTAGGAGGCTAAACAGCCTCTGGCAGCTTGGGATTTTCAGGAAACATTCTAGGAGAAAGTGGATCTAGTTTTGTGGGTGTGGTAGAGACTTCTCATTCATTAAAAGATCAGGACTTACACTGGATCTCCAAGTTTTACAGCAGATAACTATCATGAGATTGGATTTGCAAATGGACTCCTTCTTGCTGCCATTCTGTCATTTGCTGTGGCATGTCTCATAGATCCAAAGACTTTGTGTTCTCTTACAGACTTCATCCTGCTTCTGTTTCACTCGTCCTGGCACTGAGTTTCTGTGTGTCCTGTGCATCTGTGCTGGAAGTTGGTGCATTCACAGAATAAAGGCTCCTCTTGAAAAGTAACTGCCTCTAAGGCTGCCAGCAGTGCAGTCAGCTGTGTCAGTACAGCATGTTGCCTTAGAGGTTTTTCCCAGCAGATGGCACATGGAGTTTCTTTAACAATACCAGCACCCAAAGACAGGAATGAAATATCTACATATATCACAGAATCAGTTAGGTTGGAAGGGATCACAATGGGTCATCTGGTCTAACCTCCCTACTCAAGCAGGGCCATCCTAGAACACATGGCACAGGATTGTGTTCAGAGGGTTCCAGAATACCTCCAGTGAGGGAAAATCCATGAGCTCTCTGGGCAATCTGTTCAGTGCTTGGTCACCTGCACAGGAAGGAAGTTCTTCCTCATGCTCAGGTGGAACTTGTTGTGCATCAGTTTTTGTCCATTACCTTTCATTTTACTGGTTTCCACCACTGAGAAGAGTTTGGCTCCATTCTCTTAGCACTTCTCATTCATGTGCTTGAATACATTAATGAGGTCCCTCTCAGTCATCTCTTCTGGAGATTGAACAGGCCCAACTCCCTCAGCCTTTTGTAATCAGTGAGGTGCTCCTGTCCCTTCATCTTCATTGCCCTCCACTGGACCTGCTCCAGGAGCTCCATGTCCCTCTGGTACAGAGGAGCCCAGAACTGGACACAGTGCTCCAGCTGTGGCCTTATGAGGGCTGAGCAGAGGGACTGGCTTACCTCCCTGCTCTGTGTGTCTGTGTTTACAGATTGCTTAACTAAGCCAGCCCCAGTGGTGTCAGGAAGAGATGTGAAGGAACATCCCTAGCTTCTTAGCAAGGTGAGTGTATAATCTAAGCTTCTTGAGCAAATATTCAAAAGTAATACTCATCAGACAAATAAGGTGTTAACAATTTAAGCAGTAACATAACTCCTGGCTCAAAGATGAGTAAAAATACATATAATTAATTAGGCAAGAAAGTTAACAGCGAGTTGGACAGAAGATACCATGAGGAAAGTAAAGTTTACTGCTCTGTAATGGCCTTACTCAGTTTACATTGTAGATTGATTAGACAGTACACCAAGAAATTATCTGCTCTATTTTCCTCTCAATGCAGAATCATATTCATCAGAGAATCTGGGTGAGTGTTTGCCTTACTTCTTATCAAAGGCTCTCATCATAGAGATCCTGTATTTCACCCAGTAATCTGTTCTAGTGCTTCATTATCCTTTCTGGTATAAATGTCTTACTGCCACCTTAATGGCTAAACTGCCACCTCTCTTGCAATTTTGGACCATTAAATCTTTTTTACTGTAATAAACAGACAGATGTAAGGGTTCTGTGCAGGATAAGTGGAAATAAAGAGGCATAGATGGCCCAGCCCCAAGGATGTGTGGAGGGACAGAGGGTCCTGTGACACCATCTGCTAATCAGTGCAGTGGTGTTTGCAGCAAAAAGAACAGCTTTGGCAGCTCACAGCCTGCAGCATTCCT